TGTGGGGGGCGCTGGGGGGGCTCGGGGACACCCGGGGTGGGTCCTGAGCCCCACAACCCCCCCAGCTGCCGGGATCCCGGATTTCCGCTCCCCCGGCACCGGGCTCTACTCCAACCTGCAGAGTTACAACCTCCCCTACCCCGAGGCCATCTTTGAGATTGGTTTCTTCAAGGTACACCCCCCTTTCCTCCCCAAATTCTGAGGGGGGGGCTGGGTTTCTGGGGGCTCTCCAAGCCCCCCCTGATCCCCCTGTGCTCCCCAGAAACACCCAGAGCCCTTTTTCGCCCTTGCCCGTGAGCTCTACCCAGGCCAGTTCAAGGTAATTAATATTCTCCCAAACCTCCTTCCAACCTCTCTCCTCACGTGGGGGCCCAAGAATCCCCCAAATGACTCCCCAAATTCCCCCAGCCCACCGTGTGTCACTACTTCATGCGGCTGCTGCAGGACAAGGGGCTCTTGCTGCGCTGCTACACCCAGGTAGGGCACAACTCCCTCTCCCCTGGCTGGTTTGGGGGTCACGGGGACCTTGGGGACCCCCTGATGTCCCCGTGGCGCCCCCCAGAACATCGACACTCTGGAGAGGGTGGCAGGGCTGGAGCCGGAGCTGCTGGTGGAGGCTCACGGCACGTTCTTCACGTCCCACTGCCTGCGCTCCTCGTGCCGCCAGCGCTACGACCTGGCCTGGATGAGGGGTAGGGGAGGGCTCTGGGGGGCTCCCGGGTGCTGGGGACCCACGGGGACCTCCCCTCGTCCTCCCACAAGTGGCTGGGGGAGTGTCCCCCTCTGCTTTGCCTCGGGGTGGTAAAGGCGGGTTGTTCTTCCCCAGCACTCCCCAAATTTTCCTGTGCGCCCCCAAATGCCCGTGCCCCCTTTCCCCACTGAGCTTCCACCCTACCCCTGTTTTCCAGAGAGGATTTTCTCCTCCCTGGTCCCGAAATGTGAGAAGTGCCAGGGGCTGGTGAAGCCTGGTGAGTTTTGGGGGGTGCTGAGCAGGAATTTGTGGGGGGGGAAGGGGTCTTCACACCCCCCCC